ATTCTTCTGTCGATGGTCATTTGGGTTGTTTCCAGTTGAAGGCTATTATGAATAAGGCTGCTGTAAACACTCTTGTACAAGTCTTTTTGTGGATGTATGTTTATATTTCTGTTGGGTAAATACATAGGAGTGGAATTTATGGGTCATAAAGTTGACATATGTTTAGCTTTATAAGAAACTATCCTAGAGTTCTCCAAAGTTTGTGGACTATTCTGTACTCCCACCAGCAATGAATGAAAATTGCTGTTGCTCTATACATATCCTGGCCAAGGTTTGGGATCGCCAGCCTTTTTTATTTTAGTTGTTCTAGTGGGTGTGGAATGGTATCTCACTGTGGCTTTGTTTTGCATGTCTCTGATGACTAATGACTTTTAATGGGCTTTTTGGACATTTGTATGTGTTCTTCCATGAGGCATTTGTTTAGTCTTTTGCCCATTTTTTATTGGGTTATACTTATCATTGACTTGTAGGAGTTCTTTATATAGTCAAGATCTGAGTCCTTTGTCAGGTGAATATTTTTTCCCAATCCGTAGCTTGGCTATTCATTTTCTTAATAGTGTCTATCCTTGATGAGCAGAAATTTTAAATTTTTATGAAGCCCAAATTATCAGTTTTTATAAATGGTTCGTGCTTGTGTCCCACCCAAGAAATCTTTGCCTATTGCATGGTAAAGATATTCTCCTAAGTTTTCTTCTAGGAATTCTATATTCTGAGCTTTACATTTATTTCTCTGATCCATCCTAAATTTATTTCTGGGTATCAAGTGAGATGGAGTCCAGGTTCATCCTTCCCTGCACGGATATTCAGTTGTTCCAATGCCACTTAAAAAAGACTTCCCTTTACCCATCGAATTGACTTGCTGTTTTGGTCAAAAATTGATTTGTCATATATGTAGGGGTCTATCTCTGGACTCTGGACTCCATTCCGTTGATATACTTCTCTATCCTTACACCAGTACCACACTGTATCAATCATGTAGCTTTATAGTAAGTACCAAAATCAAGGATTCTAAGGACTCTGTTCTTTTTCAAAATTGTTTTACCTATTCATGATTCTTTGCATTTCCATAAATTACAGAATCAGCTTGTCAATCTCTTCAAGAAAGCCTGATGGAATTTTCATAGAGATTGTATTAATCTATAAATCAATATCTTAACAAGGTTGAGTCTTCAGATGCATGAATGTGGTATCTCTCTCCATTTATTTATATTTCTTAGCAATATTTTGTCATTTTCAGCATAGCAATCTTACACCTCTTTGGTAGATTTATTTCTAGGTATTTGATGTTTTTTGAAGTCACTGTAAATGGTATTATTGATTTCACTTTCCAGTTGTTCATTGTTGACTTATATTTTAGTAGGTTAATTCTGGCTCTTGGACTAAGAACAAATCACTGGCGAAGGGGGCGAAGAGCAGAAGCAGAAAGCCCAGTTAGGAGGCGCTTGCAATACCTGAGGGGAGGGGTGATGTGGCTTGGGAAAGGGTGGCAGCGGTGGTGGGGAGAGATCATATTGAAGGTAGAATCAACAGGATTTTTTAATAGATTGGATTTCAGATATGAAAGGCAAAAGGTAAAGGATAACACCAAAGTTTTAGCCTGGCCAAAGTTGAAGTTGCCATTAGTTGATGTGTGTTTTAGACAACCAGTCACAGATGTGGATAGCCACTTGTACGCATGAGCCTGGACTTGGGGGAGAGGTCTGGGCTGGGATATGTATCGGGGGTCACCAGTATCCAGACCGGATGAGCTCACCAAGGGTGTAGATAGAGAAGGCCCAAGCCCTGGGGCAACCCAGCCTTAAGAAATCAGGGAGAGGAGGTGGGATTAACAAAGGACAGAAAAGGAACAGCCGGGGAGGTAGGGGAGAGTCTAGGAGAGGCTGGCAAGCTGGAAGCTGAGGGGAGAAGGTGTTTTAAGGTGGAGGGATGATCAACCGTGTTGAACAATGATGTCAGGATAAGTCAGATGAGTCCCGAGAATTGGCCATGGGATGTAGCAATATGGAGCCATTGTCGATTTCAACAAGACGTTGTTGTCATGGTGGAGCAACAGCCTGATCAGAGAGGGTACAGGAGGAAAGGGGAGGAGAGGAGTTGGGTTCATTTCATAGGAACAATTCTTTCAAGGGGCTCCCTACATAGATGGCAAGAGGACTTCCTGAGAGTTACTGCGATAGCTCTGTCCACAGAGCTTACAATGCAGGGTCTCCGCCCTGGGGCCTGCTCTCAGCCTCCTGTGCTTCTGTGCTGAGGACCTTACAGGACCCTCTGCTGGAGTGTATGCCAGGGGCGGGGGGATGGAGAGGGCAGCCTCTGTCTGACCTGCTGAGAATTCCTGTGTCAGAAGCCACCTGCTACTAACAGACAGTTCTCTGGTTCCCCACAGCAAGAGCTCAGAGTTTGCTTCAAGCATCAAACTCTTAATAGACCCATTTCTTCAGGAGCTTGACAAAGACTTTCCATTAACCCAGGGATGCCTGGGCCCTGTCTGATGAGGGCATCCAGGGTCTGTGTCCTCTGCCCCGTTGGTGATCACAGCTGTGATAATGGGAAGAATGACCATATGGCTGTCCTGCTCAAATGCACGTCTTTGCCACATACCCCAGTTTGTACACCACTGGAAGCAGAAATGGCAGTATCGCATGACATGGAAGTTAGCTTGTTCACAGTGATATTTCTGAGGCAAGAGGAGAGGGTAAAGTCAGTTGCAGGAGAGGACAGAGCCCAACTTGTCAGTGTGCTGACAGCAAGTCCTTTAGGCTATATTTTAAAGACAATTGTAAATTGCTCCCGCTCCCAGGCCTGCGGGGGAGAGCCCTCCAGCCTCCCAGGGCTCTCAGGGCAGGTGTGCTCCTTCCCGTGCCCACTGTCATGACAGCCACTTCCTCCTGCGTCATCGTCTCTGTAGGCCAGCCCTGCCATCATTAAAGCATTCCCTGCACGTCTGTTCTGTTGGTTTTGTGCATTTGCAATGTTTTCTGTGGCTTTCAGTGTGGTTACAGTCAACCCTCTGGGTGCCGTTTCACTGTCTTTATTGGTGCTGTAGTTACAACATTGCCTGGGTTATGAGAATCTGCCCCAATCCCGTATCTCCCATAAACCCTGTTGTTTATACAGGACGATTTTGCAGGAGGCGGGGATCTTCAGGAACACACAGATCGTGTTTGAGCAGAAATCTTGAACTGTCTCTCTAGTGGGAAGCAGGGCTAGGAGGAAGGTAGGGCAACTGAAGAGATACAATTTAAGGAGGCAGCACTTTGAGGTTCACACTGCCTGCGGGGTTGGGAAGACTTCCTTCCTATTGGGTCCAGCAGAAAACAGCCCCGCATTGGGTAGAAACATCTACCTGATGCTTCTATAATTATGCATAACCGGGCCGGCCCGGTGGCGCACTGCTACAGTGCGCCGCTTGGGAGCGCGGCGGCGCTCCCGCCGAGGGTTCGGATCCCACGTACAGACCGGTTCCCGCTCACTGGCTGAGCGAGGGGCGGGCGCAGCACCGAGGGTTGCGATCCCATTGCCGGTCCCGGTCCGGTACGGGTGCGACACTGAGGGTTGCGGTCTGTTGCCGGACACGAAAAAAGACAAAAAAAGGAAAAAAAAAATTATGCATAACCACGTGGCACTTCCTTCTTAACACACGCACACACACATACACACACACAGAGGCAGCTACAGCTTGGGGGTTTAAGGCATAGCCAGTACTGAGGAGGTGCCCTCCAGCTCCCTTGCAGACCAGTGGTTACCAAGGTTTCAGAAACAGTAACAGTCGTGGGAGAAAAACTTAAACTTTAGAAATTTTATAATGTACTGATTTTTCTGCATCCTGGGAGAAGATTACTAGCATTCCTTTTCTGAGCGATACCCTAGCCTGTAGGACAGAGCTCCTGCATCGTAGTGGGAGGTCCCCTGGGCAGGAGGAAGGGCCCACTGTGGGGAGAGGGTGAGTAGACAAGGAGGCTGAGCAGAGGTGGGGGGGCCCTCCGGAGGGGGTCGTGTCGAGGGATGGGAGAAGCTCCTCTTTGTTCTTGTGCAGCCTGAACTGAAGGGCAAACCATGCAGTTGGATGGCTTTAGGTCTGACTCTCCAACAATGTGGACTGGCTCAGGGAAAGCTGATGGAGGACACAGGTGAATGAGGCGATGACTGCTCAGGCCCACATAGTCAAAGCTCATCCGGTTCTTAGAGAGCATTTGGTCAAGCCTTTGCTGTTGTTACAGATGGGGAAACTGAGGCCCAGAGAGGGGCAGCAACTTGTCCAAAGTCACAAAGCAAGTCGGAGGCAGAACCAGAATTAGGATGCGGCTCTTCTGAGCCTGAGCCAGCAGGCTTCCTCATCTTCCCAGTGGTCAGACACCTACTTCTCTTGGGCTTGCTATGGGAAGCCACCACCCACCACCACCCCACCACCCCCGTCTAAGGCTCGGCAGTTCTCAGTGCTTTTGCTGGGCCAGGCCCTGCCCATGGTGCTGAGGACACAGAAATGGGTCAGACCTGGTTCATGCCCCAAGCAGCTCCAGGGGGGCCTGGCAAACAATTCTGTCGCATGGCTGCAGGAATGCACAATGAACGAACAACTGTATGCACATTCCAGAAGAAAAAAAGGGCAATGGGTTCTGCCTGGGGAAGTCAGGAAGGCTTCCCAGTGGGGGGTGGGGAGGCAGAGAAGCCAGCATCTGAAGATTGGTAGGAAATTCCAGGCAGAGGGAATGACGTAGAGCACAGACTAAGAACAAGACTAAAAATAAGGACCAGAGACTTCGACGCATTCATCAAGGTGTGTTCCAAGCCAGGGACTGCACTAAATGTTTTTCATGTTTAACCATTTAATCCTCCTTCCAGCCAGGTCCTCTTATTATCCCCGTTTCTCTGACAAGTGAGCAGGTGCCTGGCATGTTAGGAGCGCAGTGGGCAGTGTATTGTAATAGAAAATGCTGGGGATGCTGGGGCCTCGGAACAGCGGGGCCACCCTGGTCACCCCCACCCTGCACTCCACACAGGTGCAGACATTCCATGGAGACCTGCTACAGCACATGGAGAAGAACACCAAGCTGGACATGCAGTTCATTAAAGTGAGTCTGGCCTCCCACCTCAGCCCCCAGCCTGTCACAGGCAGGACCACTCTCCCCATCTGACAGGTGGGGATGCTGAAGCCAGCGGGCATTAACTGGCCCCAGGTTATACACATTCCTAGCTGAGCCCCATAATCCCAGTTCATTGCCTGACCCCTGGAAGGGGTATCTTTAGCTCTTTGACGTGGGGGACCTCCCTCATCTCTCCATCCTACCCAGGACAGCCGCCAGCACTATGAGATCGAGTACCGCCAACGAGCCGCCAACCTGGAGAAGTGCATGTCCGAGTTGTGGCGTATGGAGCGCAAGAGGGACAAGAATGCGCGGGAGATGAAGGTGCGAGGGCTGGGGGCGTGTGGGCGGGTCTTGGGCCACACTAGGCTCAGGGGAGCCCCTCCCCCACCCAGCACCAGCCATATGCAACAAGCACAGCTGGAGAGGTCAGCCAGCTCCTGGTGGGGGGCATCACTGGCCCTCAGGGCCACCATCAGCACCGCCCCTTGCCCTGTGGCTTTCTGGCCTGCCTCATATTCCCAGACATCTCCTGCAACCCCAGCACCCCTCCCCGCTTCTCATACTTCACTGAGAAAACTGAGGCCACCAGTCCTGCTGTTTCTGAACCTGGTAGCAAAGATGTAATCCACCTGCAGCCCCACCATGCCCCGCTTCCTCCTGCCCAGGCAAAGGTATCCTGCCCCTGGCTAAGGCCAGTCCCTTACCAAAACCATGGATTAACCCTCTCCCTCCTTTCCTGTCTCCTCCTCTAGGCCCCTCTTCAGAATCTTCCCTCCCAGGTAGGGGGTTATTAATCTACTCATTCATATTTTCATTAAACCAACCTTCCTGGACCCCAGCTGGTCCTGTGCTAGGTGTCAGGGACAGAGCAATGGCTTGACCAGCTCTGCATATGAGAAGCACCCAGGCCAGGGGGACACAGGACCCAGATTCATAAAGATGAGGATGTCCATGAGGGGCAGGCCAGAAGCTTAGAATGAGGCCTCCAGGAGGAAGTGTCTGGGTCTAGAAGGACTGGGGAGTTCAGACAGCTGGTACTCGTGGGGGGTGGGATGAGACACAAACCCACTGCCCCCAGCCAGAACCCCCTTTCCCACAGGAGAGTGTGAACCGGCTACATGCACAGATGCAGGCCTTCGTGTCTGAGAGTCAGAGGGCAGCTGAACTGGAAGAGAAGCGACGCTATCGCTTCCTGGCAGAGAAGCACCTGCTGCTTTCCAACACCTTCCTGCAGTTCTTCAGCCGGGTGAGCTGGGGCCAGGGAGAGCAAATGGAGCCCTTCTAGGAGCTGTGCGCTTCCTTCCTTCCTTAAACTCTGTAGAAATTTATTTTATTTCACTCTTTCCATCCATTTCTTTGTTTCTGTGCTTATTTGTATCATCATATATTCATTCATTTATTCATTCATGATTTTAAAAAATTTTTGTATGCATTCACTAACTCATGCATTTGTTCATTCGTGTTTGAACCATTTAGCTGCAAGGGCCTCAGGCAGTGGTGCCGGCAAATGTGGGAGTAGGGGAGTGGAGCAATCTCTACCCCAGGCAGCAGGCTGCCTTGTCTAATTGTTTAGAGGCCAATCCTCTGCTGTGGCACAGGGAGGACCCCACTCTATCCCAGGTCTCCCTGTTGCAAGCATTAGCTTTCATTCAGCCTCAGGGATAGGATTAACTTAGCCTATCCATGTGCAAAACTGCTGCAAACAGGGCTGCTTGGGAAGATTGTTCAGGTTGTGCACTGCACAAGGGTGCCAGGTTGAGAGTAGGGGCTGTGCTCTGCTCTCCAAGATGAACACCTTGGTGCAGACTGTGTTTTCCTAGAGAAAGGAGCACTTTTTCTTTGCACAAAGAGAGGATGCTCTCACTAAATGTGTGACATCACACTCCGTTCAACCAAAGAGAATATCTGTCCCTAAATTATGTAGAGGAACCCTCTGGGCTAGTGGAAGCCCAAGCCTATGGGCTTCTGGAGTTCAGGAAAGCCAGCAGCCCCTCCCAGGCCACAATCAGAGGGGACACTTGATGCTGCCCTGCCCATGTCTCTGCAGGCTACACTGCTTGGGCCCTGAGTCCTATCGCCCTCTTGGCATGTGGGTCTGCCCACCCGCCTGCCCTGGCCTACCTGTTGACTCCTCTGGAGATGCAGCTGATGGGGCTGATGCAGGAGGAGACACCAGGAGTATTGGGACGCCGTCTTCCCACCATTCCCTCATACACTGATGACTTTGTTTCTGCATTTTTCCAATGTCATTAGTTTGTTCACTCATTTATTCAACAAATATTTTTGAGTCCAGATGACATGGCAGGCCCTGGCTCTATTTTGTATTGAGTGTGAGTCGCTGAGCCACCCACCCATGCAGCTCTCTTTCCTGATGTTGGCTCACCTGCTCCTCCCCCAGCTTCAACGCTCTTTCCTTCCCTTTCTTTGTATTCTTGTTTAGTTTCCCAACCACCCTGTTACCCTGGCTGCAAATTCTAGCAAATTATTTCATTTCTCTGGGCCTCATGCTGTCTGGAAAAGGAGGGAGATAATTCCCACCTCCAAGGCTGATGCAGTGCTGGAGCCTCACATATGAAGGAGTCCCTGTTACCCTGGCTGCAAATTCTAGCAAATTATTTCATTTCTCTGGGCCTCATGCTGTCTAGAAAAGGAGGGAGATAATTCCCACCTCCAAGGCTGATGCAGTGCTGGAGCCTCACATATGAAGGAGCCTAATGCCCCTGCCCTCTTTCCTCCAAAGATGGAAACAAAAGCTGTCACTCAGGAGGACTGCCTGCTTGCACTCCGCTGCCCCAACAGGCAGCAGCAGACTCCTGGCCTGCCAGGCTCAGGGCCCACCCTCATTCTCTGTCTCCAAACCCAGGAATCCTCTGGTACTGAGCAGAGGTGGGAGATGTGACTGGAGCCGTGATTGATCTCGGTTCAGGTGGACATTCACCCACTGTCACTACCACACCCAGCCCCAGGCTCAGGGCTCAGCCTTCTCATCCCCTCTTCTCTCCCACAGAATGACCCTCTAGGGAAGAACAACTTTTTTTTAAACAGCTTTACTGAGATATGATTCACACACCATACAATTCACCTATTTAAAGTGTACGATTCAATGGTTTTGAGAAAATTCAGACTTGTGCATTCATCACCCCCCAAAGAACCCTAGCCCCCTCTAGCTGTCATCCGCAGTCCTCCTATCCCCCTAACGTAGGTAGCCACCAACCTATTTTCTGTCTTTATAGACTTGCCCATTGTGGACATTTCATATAAACAGAATCATACCATATGTGGTCCTTTGTGAGTGGCTTCCTTTTTATTGCCAAATAACATTCTGTTGTCTGGATATCCCACATTTTATTTACCCATCAGTTGATGGACATGTGGGTTGTTTCCATTTTGGGGTTATTATAAATAATGCTGCTCTGAATATCCACGTGCAAGTTTTTGTGTTGACATATATTTTTATTTCTCTTGGGTATATAGGAATGCCATGTGGTAACTTTACGTGTAGCTATTTGAAGAACTTTCAGACACTTTTCCAAAGTGGCTGTACCATTTTACACTCCCATCAGCAGTGTATGAGGGTTCCGTCTTCCCACATCCTCACCAATCCTTGCTATTGTCTGGGTTTTGATTACAGCCATCCCAGTGGGTATAAAGTGGCATCTCATTGTGGTGCTGATTCGCATCTCCCTCATGGCTAACGATGTTGAACATCTTTTCCTGTGCTTATTGTCCATTTATATATCTTCTTTGGAAGGAAACTCCTTTTTGCCTGTGTTCTGAACAGTTAACCTCCAGCACTGATAGGAGAGCTGACCCCTTCCTGGACTGCCTCATGGTGGTGATCATCCCTCAGGAGGGAGCCATGGATTGAACAGTCAGACGTCCCCTGTGCATGGGGACCAGGTGGCATGTTGTCTGACCCGCTCAGCTTTAGGACATCCAAGATCTGACTCCTAAGATAGCTAAGCACAAATATTTACCTGTTACTATATGTATAAACAGAACGCACAGTTAGAGCAAGATTTTAAGAACTGTAAGTGCCTGGGCACAGTAAGGTGACTTTCTCATTCCTCTCCAATAATCAGTCCCTGCTTAGTCAAAGGCTAGTCAATAGCGTCTTCCTACCTCACCTGTAGCTTCTCTGGGCTTATTATATATTTCCAGAATAAATTCTTAGAAATGGAACTGCTGAGTCCAGGAATATAGTCACTGGTTGTATTAATTTACATTTCCACCAGCAATGTATGAGATTCCGTGTTTCCACACTTCTTGACAACAGTGTATGAGCAAACTTTTTGATCTTTGCTCATCAGAAAAGTAGAAATGTTATCTCAGTGTAGCTTTATTTCATTCTTGTCTTATGAGATGGACACCTTTTCATGTTTCAGAGCCATTCGATTTCCTTTACTATGACATGTCGGTATCTTTTCCTCCATTTTTCTTATTAATTTGTAGGAGCTCTCTATGTTACTGAAATTAAACTTTTTTGATGAAGAGTTGCAAATACTTTTGCCAATTTTCCATTTACCCTTTGATTTTTCTTATAGTAGGTCTTGCCATGTGAAAAAAGTTTTATTTATTCGAATATATCAGTGTTTTCTTTTAGATTTTATGGGTTTTGTGTTACAATGAGAGTGGCTTTTCCACTCCATAAATATTTTTAAAATTCTCCCATGGTCTTTTCTATGGTTTTGAAACCCTATACTTTTAGATTTTATGGGTTTTGTGTTACAATGAGAGTGGCTTTTCCACTCCATAAATATTTTTTAAATTCTCCCATGGTCTTTTCTATGGTTTTGAAACCCTATACAGTGTTTTTTCCCACCCACTGGCTTGGAGGCAGGGCTGAGGGAAGCCAATAAAATTGAGTGCCATCCAGATTGGGACTCAGTGCTGTGGTCATTACTCCTAGAACCCTCTGGCAGGTGCTCTCCACTGAAAGTTCTCAAATTGAGTACAAATCCCTTTTAAAATTATGATATGCAGAACCTAATAATCTTACTGTGCTTACTGCCTCTGAAACAAGTGCACGGCGGTTTGAGGGTTTTGTCTTTTTAATGACCGCAAGGAAACAGAAGGGATGTCCATCTTGTGACCCAAAGCTCTGAGCCTTTCTGTTATTGCTGCCTGAGACAGCTGTGAGGTTTTCAGCAGCTGGGCCGGGTTGAAGGGAGAAATCATTGACAGGCACAGACACAGGAGGCTTCTTCAAAGACAGACTAGTACAAGCCACTCCACTGCTTACTGGATGTGAGACTTTGAGCCAGTCACGTAACTTCACTTAACTTCTCTGACCTTCAGCATCTTCTATCAAATGAAGATAATAACTGCACCTACCTCCCAGGGCTACTGTGAGAGTCAAATAAGATAATGCAGGTAAAGCATTTAACACAGGGACTGGTACAGAATAAATGTTGGCTCAGGTAAGGGAAGCTTCTCTTATTCCTAAGGTTACAATCTTGAGGTAGGCCTTAGGGGAGGAGATGTTTGAATAGAAATGGGAGAGATCTTTATAGCTGCAGAGCAGAGTGTTTTAATTGTACGTGGGATTTAATTTATAGAGATGACCGAGTGACAACATAAAGAGGTCAATGCCATTGAAAGTTCTATTAGTCACAGTTCCTAAGAAAAGGGGGCACACCATACCATGCAGGGTCACCTGGGGCAGAACCAGGGATGGAAAAGCATGGCCCAGAGCCTGTATTGTGGTTTCCATGGGAAGGAATGGGCAAGGCAGGGTAGGCAAGTTTGAGCAAATTTAGAATTGGATAGTTTGAACCATTTTAGCGCGCTCTGGGCTATAGAGATGGTCTCTTTTGTCTGGTACCTGGCTCTGGGGTGAGTAAGGGCATGGGAAATATTAATTTGGCGTGTGAGAGCTAGATAAAGGAGCTGGGAATACGGGATTTGGATCGGATGGTTTGCATATGAAAAGCAGACTCCTAGACAAGTTGTTTACTATCCCTGGTAGTAGCAGTCTCTCCAGGCTTACCAAACACCCAGGATGTCAAAGATCACAAAATACAGGAAATAAAAAACATGATTAATTCACGGGTAGGTCTAACATTTAAAGCCCTCCCTCCCCAAGTTGGCATGGACTGCGTGGTCAACTGCTGGGTTTCCTGTCCTTGAAAGTATTCAAACAGAGGTAAATAGATGCCAGAAAAGGAGATGCTTACCTAGACTATGGGGATGGACTGGAAAACTGTATTCAAAAGTGTTTTTTAAAAATGACTCAAACTGGCTTAAACAGAAAAGATATTACTTTAGTTGACTAGGAAGCTGAAAATTTTCAGATATAGCTGGATCCAGGAGCAAAAAAGTTGTCATTAGAACGTTGCAACTGTCTATTGCTTAGTTCCTCTGTTGGCTTAACTCTACCTATTTAGCAAACCCATGAGGTAAAATAATGGATTTTTTCCAGATTGTTACAGGGTAAGTAATGGGAATGGGTTCTTTGGTCACTGT